CGGTGACAACAACACAATGATACATGGTAACAACTACACAATGATACACGGTAACAACCACACAATGATACACGGTAACAACCACACAATGATACACGGTAACAACTACACAATGATACACGGTAACAACCACACAATGATACAAAGTAACAACCACACAATGATACACGGTAACATCCACGCATTGATACACAGTAACAACCACACAATGATACACAGTAACAAGCACACAATGATACACGGTGACAACAACACAATGATACACGGTAACAACTACACAATGATACACGGTAACAACTACACAATGATACAAAGTAACAACAACACAATGATACACAGTAACAACTACACAATGATACAAAGTAACAACTACACAATGATACACAGTAACAACCACACAATGATACACGGTAACAACTACACAATGATACACGGTAACAACTACACAATGATACAAAGTAACAACAACACAATGATACACAGTAACAACTACACAATGATACAAAGTAACAACCACACAATGATACACGGTAACAACTACACAATGATACACGGTAACAACTACACAATGATACACGGTAACAACTACACAATGATACACGGTAACAACTACACAATGATACAAAGTAACAACTACACAATGATACACGGTAACAACTACACAATGATACACAGTAACAACCACACAATGATACACAGTAACAACCACACAATGATACACAGTAACAACCACACAATGATACACAGTAACAACCACACAATGATACAAAGTAACAACCACACAATGATACAAAGTAACAACCACACAATGATACAAAGTAACAACCACACAATGATACAAAGTAACAACCACACAATGATACACGGTAACAACTACACAATGATACACAGTAACAACTACACAATGATACAAAGTAACAACTACACAATGATACACGGTAACAACTACACAGTAACAACTACACAATGATACAAAGTAACAACTACACAATGATACACGGTAACAACCACACAATGATACACGGTAACAACCACACAATGATACACAGTAACAACCACACAATGATACACAGTAACAACCACACAATGATACACAGTAACAACCACACAATGATACACAGTAACAACCACACAATGATACACGGTAACAACCACACAATGATACACGGTAACAACTACACAATGATACACGGTAACAACTACACAATGATACACGGTAACAACTACACAATGATACAAAGTAACAACAACACAATGATACACGGTAACAACTACACAATGATACACGGTAACAACTACACAATGATACAAAGTAACAACTACACAATGATACACGGTAACAACTACACAATGATACACGGTAACAACTACACAATGATACACGGTAACAACTACACAATGATACACGGTAACAACCACACAATGATACACGGTGACAACAACACAATGATACACGGTAACAACTACACAATGATACACGGTAACAACTACACAATGATACACGGTGACAACAACACAATGATACACGGTAACAACTACACAATGATACACGGTAACAACAACACAATGATACACGGTAACAACCACACAATGATACACGGTAACAACTACACAATGATACACGGTAACAACCACACAATGATACAAAGTAACAACCACACAATGATACACGGTAACATCCACGCATTGATACACAGTAACAACCACACAATGATACACAGTAACAAGCACACAATGATACACGGTGACAACAACACAATAATACACGGTAACAACTACACAATGATACACGGTAACAACTACACAATGATACAAAGTAACAACAACACAATGATACACAGTAACAACTACACAATGATACAAAGTAACAACTACACAATGATACACAGTAACAACCACACAATGATACAAAGTAACAACCACACAATGATACACGGTGACAACAACACAATAATACACGGTAACAACTACACAATGATACACGGTAACAACTAAACAATGATACACGGTAACAACTACACAATGATACAAAGTAACAACAACACAATGATACACGGTAACAACTACACAATGATACACGGTAACAACTACACAATGATACACGGTAACAACTACACAATGATACACGGTAACAACCACACAATGATACACGGTAACAACCACACAATGATACACGGTAACAACTACACAATGATACACGGTAACAACCACACAATGATACAAAGTAACAACCACACAATGATACACGGTAACATCCACGCATTGATACACAGTAACAACCACACAATGATACAAAGTAACAAGCACACAATGATACACGGTGACAACAACACAATGATACACGGTAACAACTACACAATGATACACGGTAACAACTACACAATGATACAAAGTAACAACAACACAATGATACACAGTAACAACTACACAATGATACAAAGTAACAACTACACAATGATACACGGTAACAACCACACAATGATACACGGTAACAACTACACAATGATACACAGTAACAACTACACAATGATACACGGTATGATACACGGTAACAACTACACAATGATACAAAGTAACAACTACACAATGATACACGGTAACATCTACACAATGATACACAGTAACAACCACACAATGATACACAGTAACAACCACACAATGATACACAGTAACAACCACACAATGATACACAGTAACAACCACACAATGATACAAAGTAACAACCACACAATGATACAAAGTAACAACCACACAATGATACACAGTAACAACCACACAATGATACACAGTAACAACTACACAATGATACAAAGTAACAACTACACAATGATACACGGTAACAACTACACAATGATACACGGTAACAACTACACAATGATACACAACAACTACACAATGATACACGAACAACTACACAATGATACACAACAACACACAATGATACACGGTAACAACTACACAATGATACACAACAACTACACAATGATACACGGTAACAACACACGGTAACAACTACACAATGATACACAACAACACACAATGATACACGGTAACAACCACACAATGATACACGGTAACAACTACACAATGATACACGGTAACACCCAAACAACACAATGATACAAAGAAACAACCACACAATGATACACAGTAACAACAACACAATGATACACAGTAACAACAACACAATGATACACGGTAACACACAATGACACAATGATACACAGTAACAACTACACAATGATACACAGTAACAACTACACAATGATACAAAGTAACAACCACACAATGATACACGGTAACAACTACACAATGATACACAGTAACAACCACACAATGATACACGGTAACAACTACACAATGATACACGGTAACAACCACACAATGATACACGGTAACAACCACACAATGATACACGGTAACAACTGACACAATGATACACGGTAACAACAACACAATGATACACTGTAACAACAACACAATGATACACGGTAACAACCACACAATGATACACAGTAACAACTACACAATGATACACGGAAACAACCCAACAATGATACACAGAACAACTACACAATGACAAAATAACAACAACACAATGATACACAGTAACAACCACACAATGATACACAGTAACAACCACACAATGATACACAGTAACAACTACACAATGATACACAGATAACAACCACACAATGATACACAGTAACAACCACACATATATACAGTTGATACACAGTATTACACATATACAAAGTAACAACCACACAATGATACACAGTAACAACCACACAATATACAAAGTAACAACCACACAATGATACACAATAACAACTACACAATGATACAAAGTAACAACTACACAATGATACACGGTAACAACTACACAATGATACACGGTAACAACCACACAATGATACACGGTGACAACAACACAGTGATACACGGTAACAACTACACAATGATACACGGTAACAACTACACAATGATACACGGTGACAACAACACAATGATACACGGTAACAACTACACAATGATACACGGTAACAACAACACAATGATACACGGTAACAACCACACAATGATACACGGTAACAACTACACAATGATACACGGTAACAACCACACAATGATACAAAGTAACAATGATACACGGTAACATCCACGCATTGATACACAGTAACAACCACACAATGATACACAGTAACAAGCACACAATGATACACGGTGACAACAACACAATTATACACGGTAACAACTACACAATGATACAAAGTAACAACAACACAATGATACACAGTAACAACTACACAATGATACAAAGTAACAACTACACAATGATACACAGTAACAACCACACAATGATACAAAGTAACAACCACACAATGATACACAGTAACAACCACACAATGATACACGGTAACAACCACACAATGATACACGGTAACAACCACACAATGATACACGGTAACAACCACACAATGATACACGGTAACAACTACACAATGATACACGGTAACAACCACACAATGATACAAAGTAACAACCACACAATGATACACGGTAACAACCACACAATGATACACAGTAACAACTACACAATGATACACGGTAACAACCACACAATGATACACGGTAACAACCACACAATGATACACAGTAACAACCACACAATGATACACGGTAACAACTACACAATGATACACGGTAACAACCACACAATGATACAAAGTAACAACCACACAATGATACACGGTAACAACCACACAATGATACACAGTAACAACTACACAATGATACACGGTAACAACCAAACAATGATATATAACTTCATTATATATATTGTTATATTATATATATAACAACAACATCTGTATCATCAGAATAACACTTATAAACTCGTGTGAAGAAAGAAAACTCAGATAATTTTGTATTTAAATTTTGAAAAAACTCAGAAATCATCAATTAACATATTGTGAATGTTATTACATATATTGCAGAATTTCTGTGAAATCCAAAGTGTGGATTCCGGACAGGTGTCAAGGAAGGTGTAAGTAACACATATGTTTCTAACAGAAAGGGTCAGTGTCGTGTATCAAAGGGGACATACCTAGGTGTTCCTTCCTGATATTTTGAAACATCAGAAGTTGCAGTTAATCCTACGAAGGCACAGTGACCCCGAAAGGGAACGAAAACTATCGTTGTTTGTAAACTCTTATTAGATATTAACGTAAACAAATCAATTTAGATAGGAGGGATAGATTTTTTCAATAAACGAGACACGCTTCATCAGATGTATATATGAGAACAATATTAATGGAAAATAAAACCAAACGAGCGATATCACAGGAGATATCACAGGAGATATCACAGGATATATCACAGGAGATATCACAGATGCAATCATATCAGAATAATGTAGTGATCAACACAGATCATCAATCAATGGTTGTTTAAATGCAAAACGAATGTTTTGAGGATGTATAAGAGGGGTCAGTCCTGTATAGAATGTGTCGATGTTGTATGAGAGAGGTCAGTCCTGTATAGAATGTGTCGATGTTGTATGAGAGAGGTCAGTCCTGTATAGAATGTGTCGATGTTGTATGAGAGAGGTCAGTCCTGTATAGAATGTGTCGATGTTGTATGAGAGAGGTCAGTCCTGTATAGAATGTGTCGATGTTGTATGAGAGAGGTCAGTCCTGTATAGAATGTGTCGATGTTGTATGAGAGAGGTCAGTCCTGTATAGAATATGAATGTGTCGATGTTGTATGAGAGAGGTCAGTCCTGTATAGAATGTGTCGATGTTGTATGAGAGAGGTCAGTCCTGTATAGAATGTGTCGATGTTGTATGATAGGGTCAGTCCTGTATAGAATGTGTCGATGTTGTATGAGAGGTCAGTCCTGTATAGAATGTGTCGATGTTGTATGATAGGGTCAGTCCTGTATAGAATGTGTCGATGTTGTTTGAGAGATCAGTCCTGTATAGAATGTGTCGATGTTGTATGATAGGGAATGTGTCGATGTTGTATGATAGGGTCAGTCCTGTATAGAATGTGTCGATGTTGTATGATAGGGTCAGTCCTGTATAGAATGTGTCGATGTTGTATGAGAGAGGTCAGTCCTGTATAGAATGTGTCGATGTTGTATGAGAGAGGTCAGTCCTGTATAGAATGTGTCGATGTTGTATGAGAGAGGTCAGTCCTGTATAGAATGTGTCGATGTTGTATGAGAGAGGTCAGTCCTGTATAGAATGTGTCGATGTTGTATGAGAGAGGTCAGTCCTGTATAGAATGTGTCGATGTTGTATGAGAGGGGTCAGTCCTGTGTAGAGTGTGTCGATGTTGTATGAGAGGTCAGTCCTGTATAGAATGTGTCGATGTTGTATGAGAGAGGTCAGTCCTGTATAGAATGTGTCGATGTTGTATGATAGGGTCAGTCCTGTATAGAATGTGTCGATGTTGTATGATAGGGTCAGTCCTGTATAGAATGTGTCGATGTTGTATGAGAGAGGTCAGTCCTGTATAGAATGTGTCGGTGTTGTATGAGAGAGGTCAGTCCTGTTTAGAATCTGTCGATGTTGTATGAGAGAGGTCAGTCCTGTATAGAATGTGTCGGTGTTGTATGAGAGAGGTCAGTCCTGTTTAGAATCTGTCGATGTTGTATGAAAGGGGTTAGTCGTTTGTAGAATGTGTCGATGTAGTATGGGGGGCCTACACTAAATATAAAATACGTTGTGTTAGTAATATTTGTACATCAAATACATTTTATTTCATAAATAAGACCAGATCGTCAGATTCGTTGTATTGTTAGTACATTGAAGTTCTCTTCTTTTGTTTCAGGGTGAATGACGTCATAAAGAATGTGGCTGGTTTTGTGGATATATTCGATTGTTTAAGTCTGTCACAAATGGATAGTCAAAACAAATGTTCTGTATTCGAGTGACAGCAGCACTGTAATGTGGATATCTGTATAAGACGGAGCCCGCCAGACAACGTCACGTGTGCGTTTGTGACGTTTGTTCAATCTCTCCCAGAGTACATTGCAGTGTATTGTGACTGTAAAGGAACGGCAACTCTTGTAGAGATTGATGTAGGATGAGACATGGTCTGTCTGACATCGTCACGTGTGAGTTTGTGACGTTGGGTAAGACGTGGTCTGTCTGACATCGTCACGTGTGAGTTTGTGACGTTGGGTAAGACGTGGCCTGTCTGACATCGTCACATGTAAGTTTGTGACGTTGGGTTAGACGTGGCCTGTCTGACATCGTCACGTGTGAGTTTGTGACGTTGGGTAAGACGTGATCTGTCTCACATTGTCACATGTAAGTTTGTGACGGTAAAGTTCGAGGTAACCGAAGACACTAACTTGGTACTGAAATTAAATTCGCCCAGACTATGATTTAAAAGGTTTGGTACGGCGTTGTCATATCTGGTTGTGCTTGCAGCAAAATAGAACTTGATACATAAATGCAGATAAATTTCACCGATGTTTCACCAGTTTTACAAAACGACCCTTGTAAGTGCATGCTCTCTTCTCTCCTCCAACCCCTGCTCCCCTGCTCTGCAACCCCCCCTTCCCCTCTCCTATCTTCTTTACTACACTTGTTATGAAACATCAGAAAGCAATAAAACCGTAACGATGACGATATTTAAAACGTTTTTGTTTTTGTTAGAATGTCAGACCAAAGTACAAGAGTAACTAAATGGTTGTACCACGCTGTGTTAATACACCTCGGGGCAAACGTTCATGGATGTGAATATCGCTAAAGTCGTTCCGTACATATCAAAATGTCACACTTACACAAACGTGTAGACATATCCTGTCAACAAAATATCATAAAAAATGTTGTTTATCCAATTGCATTGAATTTTGCTTTTCAAATGGGCACTTTTTCTGAGTTTGTTGTCAAAATTTGCATGTATTTCATTCGTCACATTTAAGCCTTCGCTATACACAGAATTAAAGATTATTTTGTGTTTAATATGTTAAGTGAAAAGTCTTAAAAAGAAGTCTGGAATCTGGAGTAGAGATTTTTATATTGGTGGTAATAGATTTGAGGAGAGTTGCGCGCACAGTATTAATGGATGCAGGATTTACATTAGGTACATACTAAACAGCCAAGTGCCAGTGGCTGTAATGATGGTTTGTTATTATCGTTAAAGACTGTTATTGGTCATTCACTTCGTGTTTATCAGTTATTGAAAGAAATACATTTGTATTTAAATGATCAATTTTCAACAAACAATATTTACGACTTTTTTTCAGTGCAATATGATGTTTTCACGATTTTTGGCAAAAATATGAATGCTATGTAAAGTGTATATAGGATATTACATTTGTTTCCTTCTATGCCACAAAATGAGAATGTTACAACTTGTTACGAATTTATCGTATTATCTCCCTAGAGGCTTGATAAAATGTAAAAATTCTCCTATTTATTTCGTAAATCTCATAGAATCGAAAACTTGCGTAAGACTAAATAATATGTATATTTTAGTAATAAAGACTCGAGGTTATATGAAGAGTGACGAAACTGCGGACGACTGCCTTTTTTAAGAGTTTTCGCGTGAATCTTTCTTTAGTTCATCATTTTTCATCGTTTCCTCCATTTTGCAGACATGTCACTATTTTCTTAACTATTTAACATTTACATCATATACTAAAGTATAGATATTTATTACATGACTTGATAAAAAAATCGCGCACACCTCAACACTGCTTTCGTTTCCCGCATGGAAAACGAAAAACAAGATGAGAGAAAAGCTAACCAAGAAACAAAAGACATTTTTTCTATCTTTTTTTCGAAATGAAATGAAAATTCGGAAAAACAATAAAACACAATAACAACTACAAGACCGGCAAGGCGCTGGCAGCAAGGCTTCTGATGTATAGCCGAACCCTCCGACCTGGTTCAGGTCACAAAGGAGCACAAGCGCCTGTTCGACCAGGATTCAGTATTTATGTGGAGACCGGTAGTTCTGTGTTTATATGCAGGTAAGAGTGTCTTTGTACTGATCATATGGTCTGTATACAGATGCCATGCTGTTTTTACTATATCTACATTCACTGTAAGTGAAGAATTGACATGTGCCACTTGACAGACCCTAGTAGAAAGTAGCCAAGGTGTACAGTATTTATAAGGAAGTTCGAACAGCGTAGGCCTAAAATTACATCACGCTTGAGTACGGTAGCACATATGTAGTAAAGCAAAAGGCGAAGGCAGTCGTGCTTATCCACTGTCACTTTGAACCATGCAGTTAACATGCTTGTTTTGTACGTCAAATATCGATTATAACTTACGTCGTAATCGATATTTGATAAATGAATTTGTCAAAACGACAGATATGAGTGTACGAAACGTCAGTCAAGCTGTGACTAACAAATATGGAAACACGTACATAGACTGATCAATGTTTAACGGGTTGGGGGTGTGGGCTGGCTACTCGGGTAAACGTAAGCCTACATATATACACCACTGGGCGATCGCCATTTTTATCATGATACTGGCACTGTCAACCCATAGTACTACCGAACTCGTAAATTAAAAAGTTACAACAAGTTAAAAAGTTACGATGAGGGTGCATATCTCTTAGACCTAAAATGCACGGTCCTTTTATAACATGATAAAATATTCAATTTACGGGAAAGTTACGGGAAAACTTGTTTATGAGTTGGGATACTAAAGTAGGTGTTATTGAAAGCTTAGTAGCTGGCACGTGTATCGCACGCTTCCAACGAGGAGAACTCGAGATCGAGGCCAAGATGCACGTATTTACGCTTTATTTTTCCTCTTAACATCTAGCGCTGTTCCCTTGTCCGACCACGTGAAGTGTTTCTACGTATGCACTGATTTCCCCCCATATTTCTTCATAAACAATTTCTATATACCCGAATAAAGTCTAGGGATTTCCCTTGTCAGACCACAAGGGATTTTTTCCTCGTGCACGGACTTCTTCCATATTCAATGAAACGGTTCCCCTACATTTTCTCGTGAAATCTATGTCTGTTCGATTCCCAGTTTTGTGTTATATCACATGCACAATGCAACTAGCGATTCCTCATCTAAATCGGTCGTCCTAATCAACACAGAATTGATTTATCAATAAAGTATTAGCTATGTCCCTCACCAGCAGTGCTCTAAGGGACTGTTTAATTCATACATCTCCATCAGTGATTTGTCATTTTAACAACATGATCTAAAACCTACTTATATATTCTCTTAGGGACGCTAATCATCGAAATGGAAGAGAACCGTTTGACCGGAAGTACACGTTTTGACCTGTACGTGAAGGCTGCCAGTGATGGGAAGAGTCTTGGAGACTGTCCATTTTGTCATTATGCACTTATGTATGCCAAATCACTGGGCATAGCAGATGAGCAATTTAGTATACACTTCATTGACACTACAAATAAGCCAGAAGAGTTCATGAACCTCAACGAAAAAGGCACTGTCCCAGTTCTAGTTGATAATCAAAACAATCGGACCTTCACGGAATCAGCCGACATCGCCAACTATCTCCGAGAGCAGTTTTCTAGCACTGATCCTTTGGCAGAGTACATTGGACCCGATAAGGCTTTCTTTGGTGTTGTTCTTCCAAAGCTTGGCAAAATGTTGAAGAAAAAGGACGAAAATCAGGATTCTGAAAAATGCAAGTCCGAGCTCATTGACCAACTTGAAATAATTAACAAATACTTGGAACAGTCTGCCTCAGACCGGAAAGGTCATTATCTGGCCGGTGAACGGATAAGTGAGTTGGATTGCGTGTTTATGCCAAGGCTGCGCCATGTGATAGTTGCTGGTGGTCATTACGAAGGCGTCGATATCGGCGAGTTTTCAGCTTTGAAGGAGTACTTGGATATTGCTATGGCGTGTAATGAATTCACATCCACGTGTTGTGCAGAGGAGGAAATCATCAAAGGCTGGGCACGACACAGGAAATGATTACATAAATGGCACCGGAAGTACAAATGGTGTAATTGTTTTGAACAAAAAATTGATGTCGGATCAGTAGACCTGCTGTTCCTTTAATAGACTATTATCGGCTTACAAAGACAGGTCAAAGGTAACAAGTATATAATAGTATAACATATAGTTACTTTGTACAAAAATTGGATGTTGTTGGTTTCATAAAGTTTGAATAAATACACACACGCTGTATACATTGTTAAATTTGCTTCTTTGGTGTTAAGGGCACATGATGTCATTTCTTAATTTTAAAGATTTTAAGATCATCTGAAAGGTCGGTAGGAGTGATAGTCATTACGTTTGCACCATGCGTTAATTTTTCATACAAGCGACATCTCTTTATAACAAAAATGCCCAGGGTAATGACATTGAGCCTTTACTAGCATGCTCGGATGAATGGATACCAAGTCAAACGAAATACAAGTAATATGGGACATTATTTGTGAAAATGACAGAGCGTATTTTGGCAGCAAAACTGGAAACGTTACCGGAAGTAGACCTGTTTAAAACAATTTACGTTTAAGTAGACGTGTTTTATTGACGATTGAGCAGCGGAACCGGAAACGTTACATGAAGTAGAACTTCTATGTTCTTTGTCAAACAGATGACTTGCGATATCGGTGTTTGATAAACGGTTTTGTTAGATTGAACAGACTTTTACTATATCATCTATATCAGCTATGTGTTTATCGTGTTTTGATTGATCACTTTTTGTTTCACTACTTTGTCAATATTTACATATGGGTATAAGAGCAGGGCCCGTATTCATGAAACCGTTCTCATGCTCAAGCATGAATTTTGTGTTCAAGCCTTATGTCTTGTTTAAGTTAAAAAAAATAAGGCTGATTTTGCCAAAGATTTAAAAGAAATATTGAAAAGACTTTCAAGACAAAGCTATATTCAATGTTTAAATTTGATATTTGTATTATTTTATATGATTTAGGTGAATTATAAAAATCTATGCTTGAGCATGAGAATGGTTTCATGAAAATGATTTCAGACGGCACACCAGGAAATAATTTTATGTTACTGATATTGTGTCAGACAGCACACCAGGAAATAATTTTATGTTACTGATATCGTGTCAGACTTCACACCAGGAAATAATTTTATGTTACTGATATTGTGTCAGACAGCACACCAGGAAATAATTTTATGTTACTGATATTGTGTCAGACTGCACACCAAGAAATACTTTTATGTTACTGATATCGTGTCAGACAGCACCCCAGGAAATAATTTTATGTTACTGATATCGTGTCAGACTTCACACCAGGAAATAATTTTATGTTACTGATATCGTGTCAGACAGCACACCAGGAAATAATTTTATGTTACTGATATCGTGTCAGACAGCACACCAGGAAATTCCTATATTGACAAGTATTTCAGAGGAAGCTCTCCTTATCTGGTGTCATCTCTATGACTACATCATACTTTTCCTCAACTTTCCTCTCGCATCAACACTTCACCAAACGTTTGACATTGTGACTTTTAGATGTCTCGTTTAGGGCTAGAGTATACTTTATGTGAAAATGTGATTCTCCAATATTTGTTCTTCAAATACATGGACCAGTTTTACAATTTTTGAATACTTGTAGTACATAGCCACCCATGTTTCAGGCCAAGGTCAAGGTTAGCGAGATATTCCTTTGTAGCAAGATGAATCAGAAAAGTACTACGGATGTGGTCTTATTTTGTGCTCCAAGACCAGGTTTACAAATTGTATGTAAATACTGAACACCACCAACAATTATAATTGAATGAAAACGTCCGTTCGGCTTCAGATTTCATTTTTTAAATAAGTACCCAAGATACAAAATGAAGGCCGGCTAAGTTTGTTCAAACGAATGACCTTGACTTACACGTGTGCTTTCAAGATAACATGGTTCAAATATACACAATGTTTTATGAATAACCAAAAGTTGTGGTTAGATGTGGTAAAAGTTTTTAATCACTTCTATTATATGCGGTGAATAATGTTTATAAAAATAATCTTAATATGGAATCTCGTCTTGCTGTTTTTACACTTATGTAAATAATATTTTAATGTGTGGTTCTGAAATCTGGGGTTATCACAGAGCTTCGGAAATTGAAAAACTCCATATCTCATTTCTTAAGTCGTTTCTAGGACTAAGAAAATCAACAAATACTGCTTTTTCATATATTGAGCTGGGAAGATTTCCCTTAGAAATCCCCAGTAAAGTTAGAATATTTAAAAATTGGCTGAAACTAAACATTTTCTAATAATTGTGTACTCAAATCGTGTTAAAACCATGACCCTTTGATCCTTGATTTAAAACGTGACCTTTCAACTGTCGGCCTTGGATACATGTTCGAAATTACCAATAACAGTTCTGATAAATTTCATAGTATTGTTTATTAACAACGTTTATTTGATAATTTTCTACAGCAATGTCTTACGAAAGTTAATTCTTCATCCAAAATGATTTTTATATCAACATCTGGTTGAAAGTATTAAGCTCCAGTCACACCTACATTAATCAGTTAATTCTATTGATTTCGGAGATCTGTAAATGATTTAGCAGTGGAACGTGGGCGATACAGGGACGTGCCAAGGGAAGAAAGAAAGTGAATTCTTTGTAATGATAACGATATAGAAAACGGATATTATTTTATTATTAAATGTAAGTGTTATGCAGATATTCGTATTAAAATTTTATTAATTTATTTGATAAGCCTAGTATATTTAAATTTATCCAGTTACTCAAAGTCGAAAATATAAAGGAACTTAATCATTTAGGAAACTATCTAACATCAGCAAATAAACGTAGGAAATATTTATTGTCACAATTTAATTTAAGTATTTCATGGTTTACTCCAAAAATATTATATCAACATTATGAATAATGACGTAGTGTACATAATTATAAGATTGTGAGTGTCTTTGTTCTTTTAACCGTTCTTTATCCAGTGAGTTGTATAACTTACGGACATAGATTGAATTAAAAATCGCAGTACAAGTATACGGGTATAAATTAAATTGTAGCATGTCATTGGTTAATTTTTGATATCTTATATCATTATACAGGTACAGCGGCTAGCTGGAATCGGCAAAAACTTTCAATTATAATGTAAATATAATTCCACAGGTAAAATTAACAGGTAGTGAGACATCGACAAAACTTTTATGTAGTGTAATTCCACAGGTAAAATTAACAGGTAGTGAGACATCGACAAAACTTTCATGTAGTATAATTCCACATGTAAAATTAACAGGTAGTGAGACATCGGCAAAACTTTAATGTAATATAATTCCACAGGTAAAATTAGCAGGTAGTATGACATCTGTGAAACTTTAATTAACATGTAATACAGTTATACAGATACAAATAAATATATGTAAAAGGGTTGGGCCACAGGCCTTTCCTAATTGATAGGGACAGGATGTCGTACAATGTATGGAATTCACGCACGAGAAACTGCTCACCCAACAGCGCCGGTGTTACAGATACACACGTGTGATTGTATAGCGACATAAATAGATTTAGTGTAACAAATAAATTATACAAAAAGGGTGTTGGTGTAGTACACAATTTTAGGCGACGACCCGGAAATGTAAGATACGGCGGCACATATTGGTATGATCCTACCGACAGATGTCGCCTGCTAATTTCCAACCAGGAAGTTTTTAACAACATTGACAAACAGTTTTGGACTGTAATATTGTCGGAGAAGGAAACTTACAAGGTAAGACTATCCACAATTTACGCCTACCTATATATATATATTTATTTATGATACGATAACTACCGACGTAAAGCGTAGTACTTATATTAACTAATAGACAAGACATACATTGTGAACAGTCACTGTAGTTCCTTACCTTATGTTACCTTATGTTGTCTCTGCCCGCAGGACCTGTTGGTCCTCTATAGGCAGCTCAAAATTGTCATTACGTCGGTTTAATGTCCTTCCGGTGTCTTTATCTGGTCCATATCTTACTGTATAATTAAACCTCAATGGATGTCTTTCCCAGTATTTGTCGAGCCTGTTTTTGAATTGGTTTGTTGTGGTAGCTGTAACAACTGTGTCAGGGAGGCTGTTCCAAGTGTCCACTACCCGATGAGAAAAGCTGTACTTCCTAATGTCCTTAACACAATGTTGTTTAGTTAACTTAAGTGAGTTTCCCCTGGTGTTGCTGGTCATGTTTAAATTCAGTATTTTCCTGGTTACTTTTTGGTCGTATATTCCCTTCAATATTTTAAACACCTCGGTCATATCCCCTCTCATTCTTCTAAATTTCAACGATGGTAGTCTTAGGTGATTCAGTCTTTGTTCATAATCTAGGTTTTTTTAGCTGTGGTAACATTCTTGTTGCCCTCCTCTGGACGTTTTCGAGTAATTCTATATCTTTTATCTTGTGGGGTGACCATACTGAGCTTGCATACTCCATATAGGGTCGGACTAGTGCCTTAAATAGTAAACAGAATGTCCTGTTATCAAGGTAAATGAATGTATGTCTCATTAGTCCTACTATCTGGTTAGCTTTGTTTGCCTGGGTCTGTATATGTTTTTCGAATGTGAGGTGTTTGTCAATGGTAACTCCAATGTCCTTTTCACTGTCCACGTTCTCTAAAATCTTACTTCTTCCTCCCTCTTTGCGCATACTGTACTCTGCTTCTTCTACCTGTTTTCCTTTGTTATGAATGGATAGGACCTTGCACTTATCCGGATGAAACTTGAGCAACCATTTCTCACTCCATTGGTATAATTCGTCCAGATCCTTTTGAAGAGTAGCTTTATCACTGCTACCTATAATTTCTCTAAAAATTTTGGTGTCGTCTGCAAACAAAAATACATCCGACAATACGCAATCTGGAAGGTCATTTATAAAGATTACAAATAACACTGGTCCCAACACAGATCCTTGGGGTATGCCACTAGTAACAAAATGCCATTTAGAATGAGCTCCATTAACTTGTACACATTGTTTCCTATCTGCCAAAAAGTGTTCTACCCATGTACACAGTTTCTTGTGGATCCCGTACATTTTCAATTTTTCAATGAGTCTGCAGTCAAAAGCTTTCATAAAGTCCATGTAGATTGTATTTATGACTCCTCCCCGGTCCAGAATTTCTGTCCAGTTGTCTAGTACACTCAATAATTGTAAAGATGTAGACCTCCCTCCTAGGAATCCGAACTGTTTTTCACTGAATAGGTTATTCTTCTCCATGTATTCCATGATTTGTGCTCTTATTATCTTTTCCATCGTTTTACATACAATACTCGTCAAACTGACTGGCCTGTAGTTGGATGCTGAACTTTTGTCTCCTTTCTTGAATATAGCTGTTATTTTTGCGACTTTCCATATTTCTGGTATGTCTCCCGTCTCTAATGATTTCACAAATATCATGAATACTGGTTCACTAATCACCGAACGTAGTTCAAACAGCACTTTTGGGTGAAGTCTATCGGGTCCTTGTGATTTTGTAACGTTTAGTTTGGAGAGAAGCTTGGTTACTTCTTCAATGGTTATGCTTTCAAATGAATTTTGTATGATATCTTTATTTTCCAACTCTGGCATGTTCTCACAATTTTCCACAGTAAAGACACTACTTAAAAAGTTTGCAAGTACTTCCGCCTTCTCCTTGTCTGTACTAGCTATTCCCATCCTGTGAGCTTTCATGTAGTTCTGACACTCCGCTCCTAGATTTCCTTTTTGAGTTCACGAACTTCCAAAAGTTTTTACTATTACTCTTTGCTGATTCAGCCACTTGTCGCTCTTTGTCTTTTCTCTCTTTCCTTATTAATCTTTTAACCTTGTTTCTTGCTTTGCAATAATCTCTGTGTTTTTCTGTCGTTCTGTCTTGCATATACCTCTCCCATAATCGGTGCTTCCTTTTAATGGTTTTAACTGTCTCCCTACTAAGTGGTATTGTACCTTTGGTATTCCTAGATTTACTCATAGGGATGTGCTTATCTATCAATATGGAAAGCTTGTCTATAAATATGTCCCACATTTCCAAGGTGTTGCGTCCGTCAAATTCCTCTTCCCAGTTAATGTTCATTTCTTTACCCATTATATCATAATCCCCTTTGTAATAGTTCAGACGAGCAGAGTTATCCGTTACGTCATCCAAGCAACAATTAAATTCAAACTGAATAACGCTATGGTCACTAGCTCCCAAGGGATGTAAGTATTCGGTCTTTATAATATTGTTAATATCATTCACAAGTAGTAGGTCTAACAGTGAAGATTCTTGTCCATGCCTGTGCCTGGTTTCTGTGTCAACAACTTGATAAAAATAATTGTCCCGTATACATTCAACAAATCTGGCACTACTGGCGTTCCCTGTGCTCCAGTCATCCCAATCTATATCTGGGAAGTTAAAATCTCCTGTTATAACTGTGTGAGTGAATCTGCATTCCCCTACTTTGTTCAGCAAATCATTAAGTGCTTCAAGATTATGTTCACTCGATGATGGGCTTTTATACATGCACCCAAATAGCAGTGTGTCTTTTTTATTCAAGGATATCCTCACCCATACACATTCTTCAAAATCTGTTTCAAATTGAACTTCAACAGCATTTATTTTCTTTGACACATAAATGATTGCCCCTCTTTTTTTGTCACCTGGGAAATTACTTGGAAAAAGTTCATAGTTTGGTATTTCCAGTTCCGCTTTATTTAGGGTATAACTCCTATTTTTAGGTAAAACTTCTGTAATGGCTATAACATCTGGTGGGGTTCCTGACAGAAATCTATTTTTGAATTCGTCCATCTTGTTTAAGAAACTGTCAGCATTTGTACTGATACATTTAAGATTATGCTTCTTTTCTGAGTCATTTCTCACATTTTTAAGCGATGAATTATTAATATCAACAACAACACTATTTAAATCAAAAACATTTGAATTTTTTAACTTATTTGCACTATGTACAGTAATATTGTTACTACTTCTTGCTCTGTTTAATTTTCTTTTTGTGTGGTAACTTTTACCACTTTCCTTGCCCATGGAGGGCCCCTCACTCTGAATTTGAATTCCCCTGAAGACTGCGATTCTCTGTTTTTAGCTTCTTCTCTTAATTGCTTTTCTTGTTCTCTCTCTGCTTTTGTCAGGTCATTTGATATTCTGATGTTCTTGAATTTTCCTGCTGAGTGTAAATTCCTAATATTCTTGAATAATCTGGATTTTGTATCCACCTTGTCAAAGGATACCAGTAATGGTCTTCCACCGGTTTTACTTGCATTTTTTTCATTCTCACTGCTCTGACTGTTTCTTTATAGCGACCAAGTCTGATAACTTTGACAATGCTTTCTTTCTGGTTATCTTGCTCCATTTTCACATTACATGTTTCAAGTATTTCTCTAATTACTTTTGTGTCCTGTTTCTTCCTTTCATACTTATCATTTGAATCACTTTCTTCTATCCCATGAACGACTATGTTGTTTTCCCTTGCTTTTCTCTCATTCATTTCAGTTATGACAGTATCCATGGTAACTATGTCAACAACTTCTCCAATGTTGTCTTTCCCTTCTGTTTGTTCATCTTTATCATTGTTCCTTATATCATCCATTTCATTCTTGACTATTTCCTGCACCTGTTTTTCATCACACTTACTGTCCAGTTTTTCTTCAGTAGCTGTAATTCTGTTCTCATAAGTTTGCATGATAAGCTGGCATCTCTCTTCTATCTTGCGATCAGTATTTTTCTCTATTAGTTCCCTGCACCTACCACAAAACCACATCAGATGACTGCAACAGTTTATATTCTTCCTCTGATTTATTCAAACACTTGATACAGAAGTGGTGTTTGCAACGTTGACATTCCAGCATTTTCGCCATTGGATCTTTAGACACCTTCTCACACTTCTCACAAGTCCACGCCTCATCTCCTTCATCTTCAATGTCACTGTTCCATGCTAACCTAAATGGCGATTCAGATGGGGATTGAGTTCTGGAGTTGGATCTTGATGCTCCTCTAGAGTTTGTTCCTTTGGCAGCTCTCTTCTTTTTTGTCTGGTTGCCGGCCGGTAGGCCTCCATCTTGTTTACCTTTTTGTGCCATGACTTCCGTTTATGAAAAATCCTTATTTTTCATAAAATAAGCAGAAACTAGACTATTGATGTGTAAAACTTACAGTGAAAATAAAAACTTACCACCTTCCAGCTTTTAGTGTGCTTAACAATCTTTTAAACGAATGTAAGCATAGAATTTTGTTCAGGCCGAAGTGCTGCTGTTAATAATTCAACTTTACCGGTCGACCGGAAGTGACGCTAGAATGTACACATATATGTCCTGATATTAGTAGTGTGTATGCCTGTTCTCTATAGAATATACTGTGGCGACAAGTACAAGTGCCCCTTATCTGAGAAATTACTTTAACCGCACTATCAATAGATATGACAACTACCCATCGATTGGTCAGTATTAAATAGGTAGTTTTGACACCAGTATTTCAATGATATAGTGACGTTAGTGTTCAAGATATGTAATACATAGTGAAATTTGTATTCCATAGATATATAGTGACATCAGTATTTCATAGATACAAAGTGACATCTGTATTCCATAGATACAAAGTGACATCTGTATTCCATAGATATATAGTGACATCTGTATTCCATAGATACACAGTGACATCTGTATTCCATAGATATATATTGACATCTGTATTCCATAGATATATAGTGATATCTGTATTCCATAGATACACAGTGACATCTGTATTCCATAGATATATAGTGACATCTGTATTCCATAGATATACAATGACATCTGTATTCCATAGATATACAGTGTCATCTGTATTCCATAGATATATAGTGACATCTGTATTCCATAGATACAAAGTGACATCTGTATTCCATAGATATATAGGGACATCAGTATTCCATAGATATACAGTGACATCTGTATTCCATAGATACAAAGTGACATCTGTATTCCATAGATATATAGTGACATCTGTATTCCATAGATATACAGTGACATCTGTATTCCATAGATATATAGTGACATCTGTATTCCATAGACATCTGTATTCCATAGATACACAGTGACATCTGTATTCCATAGATATATAGTGACATCTGTATTCCATAGATACACAGTGACATCTGTATTCCATAGATATATAGTGACATCTGTATTCCATAGATACACAGTGACATCTGTATTCCATAGATACATAGTGACATCTGTATTCCATAGATACATAGTGACATCTGTATTCCATAGATACATAGTGACATCTGTATTCCATATATATATAGTGACATCTGTATTCCATAGATATATAGTGACATCTGTATTCCATAGATATATAGGGACATCAGTATTCCATAGATATATAGGGACATCAGTATTCCATAGATATATAGTGACATCTGTATTCCATAGATATATAGTGACATCTGTATTCCATAGATATATAGGGACATCAGTATTCCATAGATATATAGTGACATCTGTATTCCATAGATATATAGGGACATCAGTATTCCATAGATATATAGTGACATCTGTATTCCATAGATATATAGGGACATCAGTATTCCATAGATATATAGTGACATCTGTATTCCATAGATATATAGGGACATCAGTATTCCATAGATATATAGGGACATCAGTATTCCATAGATATATAGTGACATCTGTATTCCATAGATATATAGGGACATCAGTATTCCATAGATATATAGTGACATCTGTATTCCATAGATATATAGGGACATCAGTATTCCATAGATATATAGGGACATCAGTATTCCATAGATATATAGTGACATCTGTATTCCATAGATATATAGGGACATCAGTATTCCATAGATATATAGTGACATCTGTATTCCATCGATTTTATGAATTTAGCTTCTGTTTAAGCCAATACAGGGTAGATGTTGTTTGTTATACAAGAATACAAGAAGATCAGTATGCAATGCAAATGCTATATTAAATTGATGTTTTGGGAGTTTAATCCAATTAACAGTTTTAAAGACGTCTTGTTTTTCAGTAAATTTTAAAGGAGGACCTGATGCTGTAAGGAGCCGGAACATCACAGAAAAGACCTTTACTTTTATTATAGAAAGAAAACATTGTGATATGGCAAAATTTTTTCTGTGAAAAGTGAATTTGACATTAAAAACTGTGTTAACCGTCAAACTTGTTTTTTATCATCAAGTGACAGCTAGTCCTTTATGAAAATGAGAGGTCTTTGACAAGAGGATAAGTGAGAAATGACTGTTACGTTTGGTTTAGAGTGACAAGGAAGTGGAAACATGGAGTACCCTTGGATTAGCACTGCGGTGTTGGCTTTGATGATGGTTATTGAATGTGTCTGCTGCATGAAAACATTTATACCCAGAGCAACAAAACTCCAAAAGTTTAGGAAAATAACTGTAGACAGTACTGGCAGAAATATCTTTGTAGGTGGGAAAAACAGCCTCTATCACCTGGATGCGAATTTAAATGAAATTGGCCTCCATGGAGTATCAACTGGCCCGCGGAAAGATTCTAAGATTTGCATTCGAGAAGAAATGGAAACCAATCCAGATATGTGCGATATTCAGTTATCTGATGACTACCCGCAGGTTTTACAGGTGTACAGAAATTTACTTGTGACGTGTGGTACTGTGTCACTCGGGGAGTGTGTAGGTAGAGATTTGCAGGATATTTCTGTTGTGAACATAACCAGTAGTACCCACTTTGTTGTAAATACTGAGAAGTTGGGTACTACAGAGAGTGTTATTGCAGAGATTGGCACGGAATCAGTTCTCTTTGTGGCAAAATCGCATGTTAGATCAAAAAAAAATTTTGATGCCAACTCAGAAGTAAGATTAATTATTTATGCTGGACAGCTGAATTTGATAGAAAATTCATTTCTGCAGCCATATGAATATCAAAGAAACAGAATATTTAGTATACAAACTGTAAATACATTTGAGGACCACAGCTTTGACTTTGATATAAAAGCCATGTTATATATGAAGAATTCAAAATCTGTATATTCTCTTCTAAGAATAACAAATCTACATCAAAAACCACTTGAGACTGTGTCCAAAGTCTCAAAAATATGTGCAAAAGAAACAGCTTTTAACAGCTATGAGGACATACCAATTAAGTGTGCTGATTTTCCTCATGTCCAGGATGGATTTGCCATTCAATATGGACAGAGTGAGGTGCTGGTTGCACTTTTCTCATCAGCTGAGATTGTCAGTAAAACCACTGCAGGTGCTGTGTGTGTATTTACAGAGAAAGAACTATTGGAAGGATTCAGAAAATCACGCATAAAACAATGCAGTAGCCCAGAGGTATATCTGGATCCTTCCACGACCAATAGTTGCATAAAACCAGATATGGTAAGTTATATCTCACCAAACTGGCTTACATGTACTGGGCAATTCAAAAGTGTTTTGAAGCTTCCATCTTTTATTTGAGGGTTGATTTTCAACCCATCATTTTGTCATGCTTCTTGCTGACTGAGAATTATTCTTTTGTATCTCAGTTTCTGTCTTGCTATTTCTAACCTGTTGATCTGTCATTGGGTATATAAACTTATATACATGTAATTATAAAAAGACCATTTTATCAGTGTATGATTAGATATTGACCGCTGTGTTGGAATCTGTCTAGAGATATTTTAAGCTCAAAAGTAACCAGAAATTTTGTACCTCCAACACCAACATTAGATTTTAAGTTATTTTCTTTTCTTTTGTTTTTTAACTCACCTGCCCAGAGGGCAAGTGAGCATATGATTTGGCATGGCAGCATTGTCGTCTGTCTGTCTGTCTGTCTGTCTGTCTGTTGTCCATCCATCATTTTGTCTAGCTATCATTCTGGTGTCAACTTTTCAATTTAAATATCATGTTGGGATGAACTGCTTTCAACTTTTTAAAAAGATAAATAATCTTAACTACTTTCAAGGTCACAGGGGTCAAATGTGCAGAAATCTTTGAAAAAACTTCTCAATAACAAAAGGGCAAGTAAATCACTTATTCTCAATAACCCAGGATGCTGATATTAAACCTATAGCATGCTTGGATGATGGAGTTCAAGTGAATGACCTTTGACCCACTTTCAGATTCACAAGGGTCAAATATGTTAGTACTTAATATTTCTCCCTTGCAATAGCCAAATATCCCAGGATGCTAATATCAGGTGTGTAGAATGCTAGGAAGAAAGGCTTTTCAAGTTGTTCATGTGATTGACCTTGGGTTTTTCAAAGTCATGTTGGTCATGTGTGTTAAGAACTTAATCTTTCTTCTTTTCAATAACCAGAAGCGCGAGGGTGCTGATATAAGGTCTGTTGCATGCTGTAATGAACATTTACCAAAATTGTTCAAAGGACTGACCATGGCCCACTTTCAGGAGCATATGAATGGAGAAATTGATCTTTTTTTCTTTTCAACCAAAAAACTTTGAGATGCTGACATTTAGTTTGTAGCATGCTGGGATGATGGGCTACCAAATTTGTTCTTATGAAGGGCCTTTTGAAAGTCAAAGAGGTGAAATGTTTGAAGAACAAAAACATTCTGCTTTTTCACAAGCATTAGATTCTGGGTCATAATATTTGTAGCAAACTAGGGGTTAAGACTATCAAGTTTTCATCTGTGTAAGCTGCAGAACAGGGAGCAATTAAGGTCCAAAGTTAAGCCAAGGTCATACACGATGGAATAGCTCATTTACTTGTAACATTGACCTTCCAACTACCCATGGCGTTTTGTGATTCTCAGGAAAATGGGAAATATGGTTATGTCCTTCGGCCATTTTGCCCTAATTTCTCTGGATGACATGTGACGAGGCTCTCCTATTTTGTTTATTGAGGTAGTCATCAGCTTCTGCGACTGGAAAGCCTCAAAATGACCTTGACCTTGGGTGATAAACCCAGCAAACAAACGAACACAAGGCCCCTTAGATCAGTAGGGGCTACACCTGGGTAGATTTTAGTCGTCATTGAACAAAGTTAAAGGTCAAAGGTCACCCTTGACTCCTTTGGAATAGAAAATTTGACTTGCAAATAAGAAGCTTTTGTACAAAATATCTCATGACACCCCCCCCCCCTTCCCCCCTCTGAAAAAAAATAAAAAATAAAAATTCATTTCAGATTCACATCATAGCAATACAATTCCAATGTTTTCACTTGATTTGATATTGAAGACAATTAGTTATGTTAAAAAGACAAAATTTAAAGGCAAGCTCATTTTGACTTCCTGATCAAGGGACAAGGGGACATAATTATCTTCATAAGCCCCTGCTTGATTTGACTTCCTGATCCAGAGGTGGGGTTATATCTATGTGAGCCCCTGCTCGCTTTGACTTCCTGATCCAGAGGTGGGGTTATATCTATGTGAGCCCCTGCTCGCTTTGACTTCCTGATCCAGAGGTAGGGTTATATCTATGTGAGCCCCTGCTCACTTTGACTTCCTGATCCAGAGGTGGGGTTATATCTATGTGAGCCCCTGCTCGCTTTGACTTCCTGATCCAGAGGTAGGTTTATATCTACGTGAGCCCCTGCTCGCTTTGACTTCCTGATCCAGAGGTGGGGTTATATCTACGTGAGCCCCTGCTCGCTTTGACTTCCTGATCCAGAGGTGGGGTTATATCTACGTGAGCCCCTGCTCGCTTTGACTTCCTGATCCAGAGGTGGGGTTATATCTACGTGAGCCCCTGCTCGCTTTGACTTCCTGATCCAGAGGTGGGGTTATATCTATGTGAGCCCCTGCTCGCTTTGACTTCCTGATCCAGAGGTGGGGTTATATCTATGTGAGCCCCTGCTCGCTTTGACTTCCTGATCCAGAGGTGGGGTTATATCTATGTGAGCCCCTGCTCGCTTTGACTTCCTGATCCAGAGGTGGGGTTATATCTATGTGAGCCCCTGCTCGCTTTGACTTCCTGATCCAGAGGTGGGGTTATATCTATGTGAGCCCCTGCTCGCTTTGACTTCCTGATCCAGAGGTGGGGTTATATCTATGTGAGCCCCTGCTCGCTTTGACTTCCTGATCCAGAGGTGGGGTTATATCTATGTGAGCCCCTGCTCGCTTTGACTTCCTGATCCAGAGGTGGGGTTATATCCATGTGAGCCCCTGCTCGCTTTGACTTCCTGATCCAGAGGTGGGGTTATATCCATGTGAGCCCCTGCTCGCTTTGACTTCCTGATCCAGAGGTGGGGTTATATCCATGTGAGCCCCTGCTCGCTTTGACTTCCTGATCCAGAGGTGGGGTTATATCCATGTGAGCCCCTGCTCGCTTTGACTTCCTGATCCAGAGGTGGGGTTATATCCATGTGAGCCCCTGCTCGCTTTGACTTCCTGATCCAGAGGTGGGGTTATATCCATGTGAGCCCCTGCTCACTTTGACTTCCTGATCCAGAGGTGAGGTTATATCCATGTGAGCCCCTGCTCACTTTGACTTCCTGATCCAGAGGTGGGGTTATATCTATGTGAGCCCCTGCTCGCTTTGACTTCCTGATCCAGAGGTAGGGTTATATCTATGTGAGCCCCTGCTCACTTTGACTTCCTGATCCAGAGGTGGGGTTATATCTATGTGAGCCCCTGCTCGCTTTGACTTCCTGATCCAGAGGTGGGGTTATATCTATGTGAGCCCCTGCTCGCTTTGACTTCCTGATCCAGAGGTGGGGTTATATCTATGTGAGCCCCTGCTCGCTTTGACTTCCTGATCCAGAGGTGGGGTTATATCCATGTGAGCCCCTGCTCGCTTTGACTTCCTGATCCAGAGGTGGGGTTATATCCATGTGAGCCCCTGCTCGCTTTGACTTCCTGATCCAGAGGTGGGGTTATATCCATGTGAGCCCCTGCTCGCTTTGACTTCCTGATCCAGAGGTGGGGTTATATCCATGTGAGCCCCTGCTCGCTTTGACTTCCTGATCCAGAGGTGGGGTTATATCCATGTGAGCCCCTGCTCGCTTTGACTTCCTGATCCAGAGGTGGGGTTATATCTATGTGAGCCCCTGCTCGCTTTGACTTCCTGATCCAGAGGTGGGGTTATATCCATGTGAGCCCCTGCTCACTTTGACTTCCTGATCCAGAGGTGAGGTTATATCCATGTGAGCCCCTGCTCACTTTGACTTCCTGATCCAGAGGTGGGGTTATATCTATGTGAGCCCCTGCTCGCTTTGACTTCCTGATCCAGAGGTAGGGTTATATCTATGTGAGCCCCTGCTCACTTTGACTTCCTGATCCAGAGGTGGGGTTATATCTATGTGAGCCCCTGCTCGCTTTGACTTCCTGATCCAGAGGTGGGGTTATATCTATGTGAGCCCCTGCTCGCTTTGACTTCCTGATCCAGAGGTGGGGTTATATCTATGTGAGCCCCTGCTCGCTTTGACTTCCTGATCCAGAGGTGGGGTTATATCTATGTGAGCCCCTGCTCGCTTTGACTTCCTGATCCAGAGGTTGGAGATGCATTTTTGGAAAGCCTTTCTCACTTTTGTTTGTACAGATTCCTTTGTCCTGGACTGTCGAGATTAATTAGTATCAATCGAGATAAATTGTTTCACAATTGCTGTTTTGTTGTTAGTTTCCCTGGATTATCGTCCCTTGAAAAGCCAAGGTCATTGTGAGGTATGGCCTCCTTGTAGTAACTGGTTTTCTACCTCATAGATGAACAGACAGGAGGCACACTGCATGTCACCCAGACTAGTAACAGTATAATATCTTGCCCAATGATACAACAAACCAAAACCACACTGACTCATTTGTTCCAAGCTTCATAATTGTTTTCATATAAAGTTTTATCTATAAAGGGATAATTGTCATCAAAGAGGCTGAGATCATCCGTGGCCACAAAGGAATCAATCTATTGAGCAGTTAATCTCAATTTTTTTTCCCTTGAATGATTATTATCAATTACTTATCTGTGTCATAATGATGGAGGCATGAAGAAATGAGTCATATTTGTCAGAATCTACTATAAAATTAGTTTTAATCATACAGTTTGCAGACATTTTTTCATATATTTATCCAGAAAATCATTTGACAAACATCTTATGTAATAAAGGTTGATCTAGGGCTCCTTATTTACAAAGTACATTTCTTTCTGAATAATCACCAGTAACTTTTTTCTAATGGTTCTTGATATTTCAGCCTCTGTATACAGCTTTCAATAAAACCGATTTCTGTAATGAAAATGTTAACTTTGAAAACATTATTGGATCGGTTACTCTGGAAAAATCCCCAGTATTCAATGGGACAGGGCTGACAAGTGTTGGAGGAAGTTTCAGAAACAATCTTACAACCATCTTAGTGGGATCACACACAGGTGTTCTTCAAGAGGTAAATAAATAAACAAAATGTTCCTGTCTAGAATACAATGACATATGTGATAGAGGTATATCTAAAACAAACACACACAGATCTACCTGTAATTATACACAAAATATAACATACATATCTACCTGTAATTATACACAAAATATAACATACAGATCTACCTGTAATTATACACAAAATATAACATACACATCTACCTGTAATTATACACAAAATATAACATAGAAATCTACCTGTAATTATACACAAAATATAACATACAGATCAACCTGTAATTATACACAAAATATAACATACACCATCTACCTGTAACTATACACAAAATATAACACAAATTATACACAAAATATAACATACAGATCTACCTGTAATTATACACAAAATATAACATACACATCTACCTGTAACTATACACAAAGTATAACATAGAAACCTACCTGTAATTATACACAAAATATAACATACAGATCTACCTGTAATTATACACAAAATATAACATACAGATCTACCTGTAATTATACACAAAATATAACATACAGATCTACCTGTAATTATACACAAAATATAACATACAGATCTACCTGTAATTATACACAAAATATAACATACAGATCTACCTGCAATTATACACAAAATATCACATACAGATCTACCTGTAATTATACACAAAATATAACATACACATCTACCTGTAATTATACACAAAATATAACATACAGATCTACCTGTAATTATACACAAAATATAACATACATATCTTCCTGTAATTATACACAAAATATAACATACAGATCTACCTGTAATTATACACAAAATATAACATAGAAATCTACTTGTAATTATACACAAAATATAACATACAGATCTACCTGTAATTATACACAAAATATAACATACAGATCTACCTGTAATTATACACAAAATAGAACATACCGATCTACCTGTAATTATACACAAAATATCACATACATATCTACCTGTAATTATACACAAAATATAATACAGATCTACCTGTAATTATACACAAAATATCACATACAGATCTACCTGTAATTATACACAAAATATACATACAGATCTACCTGTAATTATACACAAAATATAACATACATATCTACCTGTAATTATACACAAAATATAACATACAGATCTACCTGTAATTATACACAAAATATAACATACAGATCAACCTGTAATTATACACAAAATATAACATACAGATCTACCTGTAATTATACACAAAATATAACATACAGATCTACCTGTAATTATACACAAAATATAACATACAGATCTACCTGTAATTATACACAAAATATCATATACAGATCTACCTGTAATTATACACAAAATATCACATACAGATCTGCCTGTAATTATACACAAAATATCACATACAGATCTACCTGTAATTATACACAAAATATAACATACATATCTACCTGTAATTATACGCAAAATATAACACACAGATCTATCTTTAATTATACACAAGATAAGTCATTCATAGTTACCTGTAATTATAAAAAAAAAAATTGCACCTACTAAAGATTTAAATTATTGAACACAGAATGAAGTGACTGTAAAGGAACCTTTTATCCTCTTTTTTTTTACCTGGACAGTTTTATCTCAACAAGTCTGATGTCACAAATATACGTGAGTTGAAACCAAACCATATACAGGACAACCAATGGCCAATCATCGACATAGTGACAACTCCACTACACAGTACAGTTCTCCTTACAACATACAGTGTAAGTATGACAATCATATCCTAACTCCATCTTACCATTCAGATATAGTGTCTGATATAAACAGAAAAAAGAAATACAAGTTCGGTTTTCGTAGTAAAACTTTTAGATATGGGGACGAAACTTGATTAAATTTGACATTGTGCTACCTCATCGAAAATGGTCTTCAGTTACAATTCAGCTGACCATGACCCCGCTTGATGCTGCAGGCTTTCAGCAGATTTTCAAGTAAGCATGCATCTGACATGCTCCTGAAAGACGTGCTGGTAAATCATTACAAATTGAACATTGGAACAGTACAGATCAGCTACACAACATTTCTCTTGAAGTGATTGTAGAGCGAAATGCCACAATTGGGTGAAGTCGATAGGGGTAGGGCCATTGCTTTAATAATGTAGGGCCAGTAGCAACAATATCCAATTTAGTTTGGAATCTCAGGGGTACAGGGAGATTGGGTGACCGTCCCAGGAGCAGACACCTTACATTGGAAGGTCAAGAAAGAGGCATTTCACATCTCTGTAACCTATTTCAGACGGTGATGGAGATGGCACGCTAAGTTGTTGGCACTCATCATTGGCAAGTGTGTCCAAGAATGGTTAGGAATGGTTTGCTAGAGTTTCATTTAAGGCCAAAAATTTTGATAGACTTCAAACATTCACACATGACCATAACGTATTGATTATTAAATGTGAGGAAACAGTATTTTTAGGTTTCGTTTTAACATTAAAATCAGTTAAAAGAAGTGGTGCACTTTTCTTTTTTCTCAAATTTAAACCAAACGGCACCTTCTTTATATATATCATTAAAGGTGTCTTGGCTTGTGGGGACCGATAGGAAACATATCTTGCTTTAGCAATACTCAGTATACTTGTTGGATTTTGTTAATATGGATCTTAATTTGCTTTGAAATTGATGCAATTGTTTTACTTTTCTCTCAGCTGTAAATATAAATCAGATTCCACTGTACCTTAATTGTAGGTGGTTCTTTTGGAAGATGAAGGGAGTTGTCCAGGTGAAACCTGCACGGAATGTATGACGAATGCTAATAGTAAATGTGGCTGGTGTATAATGGAAAGCAGGTATTATTGTAATGTTACTGAATATATAGTGATCAGTAACTGAAATATAGAGTTATGCTTTACATTGACTTTTAAGAAAATCACTAGGAGTCCTAACATGATGAAGAAGTGACTATTTTACATTTCTATTCTCAGATGTAAGGAGAAAACTAGCTGTAAGGAAGAAAATTTCTGGCTGCCATCTGTAGAAGGAGCCTGTTTGACAGTCCATACAAATGCTGCTGGAGCCAGTCAAATAAATCAGATATTAAAAGTATGTTTCATTTATAACCTAGAATTAATGACTGGTAATTTTAGACTACCTGTATATGTAGTCCATCGGCTGTATAATTCCTCCATCTATCCTTTTGTACTCAATTCTTGTTATGCTGATTTCCTGAGAAGAATTTGATGAATTCTTGCTGATGATACCTAGTTGTAGTTGATTTTGTGACAGATATCAAAAACAAACTAGACACTAACTGTCCATCTTGGAATTCCACTGTTGAGGTATATCTTTTAAACATACATGAAGACTGGTTATTTTATGTTTCCCTTGGTTTGTGACAGTTCCTATTTCTAGGTTATCTGACACAGTCAGTGTATTTTGTTGGTAGCGCATCATGTGCTATCTGCCATGTATACATTTCCCAAATTTTTAATTTTCTAATTACACCACTGGGATTCAGCCCAGACTAACCTGAAATGACATTGATTTTGTTCTGACCAAATACTGTTATATTTTTGGTCTGTCAAAAATCCAAAATTGCTGCCACCATCTTGAAAAACACATTTTAAAATTCTCCGCAACTTCTACTGGTGTCTTAACTGAAAATTGATGGTAATGATAAATAAGGAAGCAAAAAGTGCTCTTATTAATTAGCCTTTTCAAAGTTGATATTACAACCCCAAGTTAGAAAATATTAGAACTGCTTTAATCGTTCAATAAAACCGGTCTGATTCCTACTACTGTTACATCATATATAGGTCTTTATTGAGTGAAATGACTCCTAAAGCCAATGGGACTCTTTCTATTTTTGAAGTGATCAGTGTGAATGGAATAGAACCAGATTATTGAATACCAATAGAAAAGATAGTAAAGATACACTATTTTTTGATTTAGTGACTGAGTCAGAAACAAAATGGTTGCCAAGCTGACGTCTTGGATTTTGACAATGAAGGATAATTTTTGGCACAAAGCATTCCCATGGGAAGCCGCTTCAATTTTGCGAGGGGGTAAAATTAGGTAAATCTTTAAAAATCTTCTTCTCATGAACCTTCTTTAAATGACTTCTTCTAAAGAACCAGTGGATGGATTTTGACCAAACTTGGCACACAGCATCCCCATGGAAAGCTGCTTTAAGTTTGCGAAGAAAAATGGCGTGGCCATAATAGGGGCCCCAGGAGGGGGAAAAGGGGGAAACTTGATATGAATGTTCTACACAAGGTCCTGGCAAGTGTTTTAACTTTTTGGGGCAATTCAAAATCCAAGATGGCCACCTTGGAATCTGTTTAGCTAAGACATTTTGGACTTCCTCTCAAGAACCACTGGGTGGATCATGTTCAAACTTGGTACAGATGTTTTACACACGGTCCTGCACAAGTGTTGTTACATTTTTGCAACATTTTAAAATCCCCAGATTATTGATATATATTCCTCAGGTGACCATTATGGCCCCTTGGGCCTCTTGTTTATGTTGGAACTGATCAGAAAAGCAAAATTGCCAACATACAACTACCTAAGATTTAACAGTGAAATATTAATTATCAATATTTCCAAGTGGATGTTACAAATTTCATGGCATTGAGAGCTAAAATGGAGAAAGGAAGATAAGTAATTGAAAAGAAGGGGAAAAGTAGAACATTTAAAGAAAGGAATAACCATCAAACAATAGAGGGAGCTCAGGTCCCTGCAGGATATAAAAAATAAGAAAAAAAACAACCATGCTTGTGACTTAGATGGGGATACTGACTCCTTTGTGTGTTGGGATATAAGATATTCCGACCAAGGGGTCACAAAGTGTCGTAAAACCTTCAGCTTTGTGACCTTGAGGGTGAAATATCCCATCCTACACCTGACATATGATAGAGTATCTTACTCTCATTTCTCATTCTAGAATATTGAAAAATATTTTACCTTAGGATGTCAACAAGGTATTACCAAGGACATTGTTTTACACACAATCATATTCTTTCATTATGCAATAAAATCAACCATAGAAAATGCATTCTCTGTATCTAGATTTGGCAAACCAAGTTTGCCTTACAAAATTACAAGAAAATTTAAACAGTCACTGCAAATAACTATTTGTACACATGTGTGTATACATGGTGACAGGTGATGATGTCAATTGAGAAGGAACCTGTCACATTTAAGACTATGCATGCATGCTGGTATTGTACAGGTGGATGTGTAATACCTGAACAGCAAACCTGTATGTATTGTCCTTGATAGACCAGTATTACAGGGATAGAAATGAGAGTGAGATGAACAGCAAGCCTGTGCGTATTGTCCTTGATAGACCAGTATTACAGGGATAGAAATGAGAGTGAGATGAACAGCAAACCTGTGCGTATTGTCCTTGATAGACCAGTATTACAGGGATAGAAATGAGAGTGAGATGAACAGCAAACCTGTGCGTATTGTCCTTGATAGACCAGTATTACAGGGATAGAAATGAGAGTGAGATGAACAGCAAACCTGTGCGTATTGTCCTTGATAGACCAGTATTACAGGGATAGAAATGAGAGTGAGATGAACAGCAAGCCTGTGCGTATTGTCCTTGATAGACCAGTATTACAGGGATAGAAATGAGAGTGAGATGAACAGCAAACCTGTGCGTATTGTCCTTGATAGACCAGTATTACAGGGATAGAAATGAGAGTGACATGAACAGCAAACCTGTGCGTATTGTCCTTGATAGACCAGTATTACAGGGATAGAAATGAGAGTGAGATAAACAGCAAACCTGTATGTATTGTCCTTGATAGACCAGTATTACAGGGATAGAAATGAGAGTGAGATGAACAGCAAACCTGTGCGTATTGTCCTTGATAGACCAGTATTACAGGGATAGAAATGAGAGTGAGATGAACAGCAAACCTGTGCGTATTGTCCTTGATAGACCAGTATTACAGGGATAGAAATGAGAGTGAGATGAACAGCAAACCTGTGCGTATTGTCCTTGATAGACCAGTATTACAGGGATAGAAATGAGAGTGAGATAAATTACATGTATGTGTATTAGGATACCGTTTTAATGAATACATGAAATTTATTTAATCAAATTATGTATTTGGATACTTATTATAATCAAAGTTGGTTTTCAGTCATATTTTATATTATGTTTCATACTGTGTATCGTATATTTGCTTCAGGTGGATGTGTTTCTGAATCCTCCAGTACCTATCACAGGCAATGACTGGTATTGTGAATATGGGAAATCTTGTAAAGGTGACGGGGATCCATGTAAATCTAAACTGACAATTAATGACTCAGGAATGTCTTGCGAAATAGAACATAAAGATGGTAAGTTATATCTGTATTCATAATTACCAAAATTACTGGTACATTAGGAGACAAAAACAATTAGATGCATACGACTGCAATTGGCTAGATCTTGCTGAGGTATAAAGACAGTACTGAGGACTATCAGTAAACTCTAATATATTATTTTTGAAAATTATCAAAACGTATCTTAGAATTAAATTATGAAAACACATCATATCAGAGAATTCCCACCCAAAACTTAATTGCTAATTCTTCATACACAAAATGTATAGATGTATTACTTATATTCATGGGCCAAATCCTTGTTGCCATGGGCCAAATCCTTGTTGCCAGGGGCAAAATCCTTGTTGCCATGGGCCAAATCCTTGTTGCCGGGGGCCAAATTCTTGTTGCCATGGGCCAAATCCTTGATGCTATGGGATTATCTCAAGTAACTGTATTAATGATACCTAACATATATTTATATGAAAAAATATGTGGACAGGCAAAAGCATGTTCTATCTGGTAACCTTCGTCATCTATCTTATTTTACGCACCTGCACTCAACCATGTTGGTATAAATACATCTGTATTATAGATATTTTTGTTGGTATTCAGATACATAACTAAGAGGACATCCTCTGTATGTGTAAAATACCATAAAAAGTCTGTTTGCACCCAAAAACTGAATGAACTTTCCCTTCTTGTTTCACCAGTAATTCATCTCAAGGTCTCAATTTAGTTGCAGGTCACTCTCTTCTAGGTTAGAATTTTGGTATCCAAGTTCCCTACCTAGTCAGCAGTCTAGGACTTAATCCCAGACAAATTATGAAATTTTCAAAAACCTGGCTACAAATATTTAATGCTGTCTTTTTTGTCACAAAATTGTCACCGAACTTGTCTGTTTGTTTGCTAAGAAGTCTTCAAAGGAACGCTTCAAATTTGACCTCAGACATTTTTTAAAATTGTTGTTTAAATATTAATGGGAGGTAAGTCAGCTTGCTGATTCAGTTTAAGCAGTCACTTCATGATCCAAGAAAAGTGAAAAATCATTTCAGGATAACATACATACAACTGCAGAGCAAATAGCCCTTATCAGCTCTCTATGGATATACAAAAAAATATGGTCATCAGAAAGATGCCAAGGTGTTTCCAAGTATGTTGTTGACTAATCATTTATGAAGCTTAAAAGGTAAAAGGCCAAATCTATATCTTGATGATGTTCTTCCTGAAATAACTTTGCATTTTCAGCCCTTTAAATGAAAAAATGAACAACATTTTTTCCTAGCTATGCATTTTGAGAAAACAAGCCATTTTACAAGCATCCAGTTGACTTGAAATTTGTTGAACAGTATCATTTAACGTTTCATATAGGTTTTTCGCATTTTCATTGAAAACGTAATTTTTGGTGTTGTTTTGTGGTCCTTTTTCCATTGAATAGTTTTATAGTGTCTGTGTAGTGTCTTTTCTTATATTGGACAATCAATTTAGAATTCTGATTTTTTGTGGAGATAATTTATTGATATTATAAAGTGAAATAGTTATTCATTAAAACAAGTGATTAGTATTTAACTATAGACACAAAATAAATTGCAACACTCTTTAAAGCATAACGTATATCAAGGATGAGTGTTTGGTAAGAGAATATGGGTGTGTGTAAATACCCAGGTGAACATTTATAGGGGTATGTAGGGATAATGTAGCACACATCAAAAAACAAATGCTGACATATCATTACATTGAAAATAATTGGCATTTATTAATTTGTTGCCATGGTTCTGGATTTAGCTTATATAATGCTAGATATAGGACGTCAATTCTTTACATTATTAACATATAATATCACTCATGATCTGAAGTCATTTGATAAAATTTCAACAGATGATATATTTTTACATTTTAAATGCCACATGAAGATTGGTACGCAACTACCACCCCCACCCCCCACCCGCCACCCAAGTCAGTATACTGTATATAGATAGTAAATAAAACATCTAAACAACCAGTCAGTATACTGTATATAGATAGTAAATAAAACATCTAAACAACCAGTCAGTATACTGTATATAGATAGTAAATAAAACATCTAAACAACCAGTCAGTATACTGTATATAGATAGTAAATAAAACATCTAAACTACCAGTCAGTATACTGTATATAGATAGTAAATAAAACATCTAAACTACCAGTCAGTATACTGTATATAGACAGTAAATAAAACATCTAAACTACCAGTCAGTATACTGTATATATACTGTTTAAAAGAAAGTGGATGTGTTTTTTCTCTATTGCAGCATTCCTCGAAGAGGAAATATATCGTGCACCTTTCAGTATCGGCAGAAATGGATCCATATTAGTTGGCGGATGGGAGTTTCTCTTCTATACTTGTTCTGGATTCAAAACGTATGTTGAAAGCTTTACTTTTACATCTACAATATGTGTATCACCAAATGTTTGTGTAGAATTAACATGAGGAAGTTCTAGAATGGTCAGTTATACCTATTGCGTTTATGCTTTGTCCGTGGTTGTGTGCCGTCCGCTGTACGTTAACTTTTCCTTCATCTTACCACCTGGGTCTGAAATGTCATTGTGGATGGGGAATCATTTATTAAATTCAGAAAGTTGATTTGACATCAAGGGACCTGGGGAAGTTGGGGGGAGGTGTGGGAGGAGAGGGGAGGGGGCCCAAATAGGGAAGGTAGACAATATTTTGCTTTAAAATGCTACTCTCCCTTAATGCTTGAAGGGACTTAATTAAAAATTTGGCTGAAACATCATGAAAGGTGAGCAATTATTTCTACAATTCAGAAAGTTGATTCAATAATTAGAGACTTAGGTATAGGGCCTCAGAGGGGGAAGTTAGGCAATATTTAGATACTTAGGTATAGGGCCTCAGAGGGGGAAGTTAGGCAACATTTTACTTTATAATGGCCTCAGAGGGGGAAGTTAGGCAATATTTAGATACTTAGGTATAGGGCCTCAGAGGGGGAAGTTAGGCAATATTTAGAGACTTAGGTATAGGGCCTCAGAGGGGGAAGTTAGGCAACATTTTACTTTATAATGGCCTCAGAGGGGGAAGTTAGGCAATATTTAAAAATAGGGCCTCAGAGGGGGAAGTTAGGCAATATTTAGAGACTTATGTATAGGGCCTCAGAGAGGGAAGTTAGGCAACATTTTACTTTATAATGGCCTCAGAGGGGAAGTTAGGCAATATTTAGATACTTAGGTATGGGGCCTCAGAGGGGGAAGTGAGGCAATATTTAGATACTTAGGTATAGGGCCTCCGAGGGGGAAGTTAGGCAATATTTAGATACTTAGGTATAGGGCCTCCGAGGGGGAAGTTAGGCAATATTTAGAGACTTATGTATAGGGCCTCAGAGGGGGAAGTTAGGCAATATTTAGATACTTAGGTATAGGGCCTCAGAGGGGGAAGTTAGGCAATATTTAGAGACTTATGTATAGGGCCTCAGAGGGGGAAGTTAGGCAATATTTAGATACTTAGGTATAGGGCCTCAGAGGGGGAAGTTAGGCAATATTTAGAGACTTATGTATAGGGCCTCAGAGGGGGAAGTTAGGCTACATTTTACTTTATAATGGCCTCAGAGGGGGAAGTTAGGCAATATTTAAAAACTTATGTATAGGGCCTCACAGGGTGAAGTTAGGCAACATTTTACTTTATAATGGCCTCAGAGGGGGAAGTTAGGCAATATTTAGATACTTATGTATAGGGCCTCAGAGGGGGAAGTTAGGCAATATTTAGATACTTATGTATAGGGCCTCAGAGGGGGAAGTGAGGCAATATTTAGATACTTATGTATAGGGCCTCAGAGGGGGAAGTGAGGCAATATTTAGATACTTAGGTATAGGGCCTCAGAGGGGGAAGTTAGGCAACATTATACTTTATAATGACTTCAGAGGGGGAAGTTAGGCAATATTTAGAGACTTAGGTATAGGGCCTCAGAGGGGGAAGTTAGGCAATATTTAGAGACTTAGGTATAGGGCCTCAGAGGGGGAAGTTAGGCAACATTTTACTTTATAATGGCCTCAGAGGGGGAAGTTAGGCAATATTTAGAGACTTAGGTATAGGGCCTCAGAGGGGGAAGTAAGGCAACATTTTACTTTATAATGGCCTCAGAGGGGGAAGTTAGGCAATATTTTACTTTATAATGCTACTGCTTCTTTCCTTATTCATTGCTGGATTTCAACCAAATTTAGTTTGAAACATCATTGGGAGAAGAGAATGATTTCCTTAATCCAGAAAAATATTTGATCCCGAGGGACTTAGGTGTGGAGCCCCAAAAGAGAAAGTTCAACAACATTTTGTTTTAAAATGTTTCTATTTCTTAATGCTTGAATGCATTTCAACCAGATGTGATCTGGAACATTACTATGGAGTGGAGAGGATATCAATCAGATGTGATCTGGAACATTACTATGGAGTGGAGAGGATATCAAACATGCATAAAGTGATCAGTATTTTTCAGTTTGGTCCAAAATCCAATGTAACTCAACTTGAACAAGTATTCTGAGCTACTTTCCAAGTTTCATTCATACCATTGAAAAAATTATTTGGTGTTGAAGGAACAATTGTTTTTTTTGTTTTTCAGTCTGGCCAAACCTTGGATATGGTAGCCATGCAAAATGGTGATTTTGAAACATGATTGCACAACTTTTTTCTCATGAACAATGGACTAAATACCATGCAAAAAGGCGTTTATATGTTAGTCTTCAAATCCCATGCTTTGCCCCCATGTAATCACTGTGTCACAAATCTGCCCACCCTTTTGGGAATCTCTTCATTTTGTTGATAAAGCTTCTAAGTAAAGTAGGGATCTTGCTGTTTTTAGGAAAGTATTCTCTAAGCTAAGCTAGACACTTGATCATACAAACATTATGTAAAAGAGGAACACACATCTGAAAGCAATGCTTATTTTTGAAGAAAATTTGAATGTTTGAGTATGTTCTACTATGTAGGCAGTGATCATCTGTAGTAAATGCTTTAGAACTGTAGTCAATATCTCCTCGATCTTAGCTACCTTCTATTAGGCTACCTCATTCTGTGCTGAATTAGCACCGCTAATGAGTCCTAGGACAAAACAGCTGTATGATGCAGCTTACTACTCATACAAAAATATTAACATCTGCACATGAGCAACTCATGAGAAATATTGCAATGATTTGTTCTCAATAGAACAAATCCTATACAATGTTAGTTACTCTGATCATGTTAGAGACATTGTAGCTTCAGTACTTCCCTGTCAAAATCTAACCATCATTTTCAAATGTAAGTAAATGGGAACTTGTTGGAATGCACATCACTCCAGAACGAAATGGATTTAAGGATACTTGTGGCACATTATTTAGTTCTGTTTAACTCTTAAGATGTATCTTACTTGAATCTTTTCTATAATTATCCAGCTTTGTTTTACCAAACATGCTATTGACTTTCAGGTGTTTAGACTGTGTCAACAATCCAAAGGTGAACAAATGTTCTTGGAACATTCAAATGGCAACATGTACAGAACGTGTGAACGAACCTGCCTATGTAAACACTGATGTAAGTCACTGAAATGATTTTAATAAGGGAGTGATATTCTTAAAACAAGTTTTAAGTGATTTTTTTTTAAAGATATGTATCATATATGATTAAAACAGACGTGGTTATTAAAAGAAGGGAGAAAGAAAAAGACTTTTAATAATGAATTACTTAGGCCAAAATAAATTGTCTTCATCATAAGAATTTTCTTTTTTTTGGTCATCATTGTGAATTGTCATGGGGCTATATAACTGAATACATTTTGTAGATCATGCAACAGAATACATGATAATATGCTAAACAAAAACCATGTTGTTAGTGGTTATGTTTTTATATCGACTTATCTTCACCGCAGCACTTTTCACCCTGATTCACAAATGTTGACATCAACCGTTAAAATTAATTTTTAAATGATGAAAATGTGGCCTAGTTAAGGATAGTAATATTGTGTTCTCAGTATAGTAGGATAATTTATATTAATTAGTCATGAAATGGAAGGGACAACTTAGTATCTATAGTGATACTATTGACGTGACCATCATTTTCTTACTACATCATTTTGTCATTCTGTCATGATGATTTCGACTCATTCACTCAAATTTAATCATTTAAACTTGAAAACAAAATTCAAGAAATTTGATTCTGTTAATTGTCTCACAGCTAGTTGGTGGGGAATATTGAAATGAAATATATGACATGTAGAGGTATAATGAAGACATGCACTCTAACTTTTCAACAATAAAGACTTGTAAAATACTGCAGTAGGTCTTGAGAGTCTGCCTGTTTATACGTCACATCTTCTTTATAAAATCTAAAGGCCTGAATAGTGGGTGAGAGTGAGTTGAGAGTATTAAAGTGCTACTTTGGACTGGTCAGGTGTTTCATCTTTAGATATTTTCAATGTTAAGGAATGTAAATGTTGAAATTTGTGAGACTATGATAATATAGGACAAACTTTAATTGGCTATTTACTGTAACTAATTACCACTATGCTGTATTAATTACTAACCTTCCTTTCACCTTTCAGGATGTCAGTAGATGTCCACAAATATCAAAAATGGATCTCAAGCTGCCTTACGATCGGCAAAAAAATGTTTTAATTAAGGCAAAAAATCTCCCATCCTTGTCTCCGGTAAGCTTTCTTCTCACACAAATGGACTACTGACAAAAATTTGATATCAACTGGCTACTATTTAATACATGTACTTTGATAAACATTTGGACTTCTGTGATTGAATTATTTGATATATTTATGTCTCAGATTTTGGTAAAGAGGACATTTTAGGATAAAGTGAAATTTGTCCTCTATATCACCAAAGGTACAACGAGTACATGATCTATTTTGACAAAAAACATTCTGTCTACCGCCTTCAATATTTAAATTATGTGACGACAATCTGAAACAAGTAATAAGACATTTGTACTTTGTTTCTATAGATTTACATAAATAAAATAAGGAGACAAAAATTATCAACAAGGTGCTAATACAAAAAACCCTTAAGTGACCTTGATATATCTATTTAGGCAGGTGATTAACACATGTGATTAGGGCAGGTGATTAACACAGGTGATTAGGGCAGGTGATTAACACAGGTGATTAGGGAAGGTGATTAACACAGGTGATTAGAGAAATGATTAACACAGGTGATTGAGGAGGTGATTAAACACAAATGATTAGGGAGGTGATTAACACAGGTGATTGGGGAGGTGATTAACACAGGTGATTAGAGAGATGATTAACACATGTGATTAGGGCAGGTGATTAACACAGGTGATTAGGGAGGTGATTAGCACAGGTGATTAGAGAGGTGATTAACACGGGTGATTAGAGAGGCGATTAACACAGGTGATTGGGGAGGTGATTAACACAGGTGATTAGGGCAGGTGATTAACACAGGTGATTAGGGCAGGTGATTAACACAGGTGATTAGGGCAGGTGATTAACACAGGTGATTAGGGAGGTGATTAACACAGGTGATTAGGGCAGGTGATTAACACAGGTGATTAGGGAGGTGATTAACACAGGTGATTGGGCAGGTGATTAACACAGGTGATTAGGGAGGTGATTAACACAGGTGATTGGGGAGGTGATTAACACAGGTGACTAGGGGAGGTGATTAACACAGGTGATTGGGGAGGTGATTAACACAGGTGATTAGGGCAGGTGATTAACACGGGTGATTGGGGCAGGTGATTAACACAGGTGATTAGGGTAGGTGATTAACACGGGTGATTGGGGCAGGTGATTAACACAGGTGATTAGGGTAGGTGATTAACACAGGTGATTAGGGAGGTGATTAACACAGGTGATTAGAGAGGTGATTAACACAGGTGATTAGGGAGGTGATTAACACAGGTGATTAGGGCAGGTGATTAACACAGGTGATTAGGGAGGTGATTAACACAGGTGATTAGGGCAGGTGATTAACACAGGTGATTAGGGCAGGTGATTAACACAGGTGATTAGGGCAGGTGATTAACACAGGTGATTAGGGAGGTGATTAACACAGGTGATTGGAGAGGTGATTAACACAGGTGATTAGGGCAGGTGATTAACACAGGTGATTAGGGAGGTGATTAACACAGGTGATTAGAGAGGTGATTAACACAGGTGATTAGGGAGGTGATTAACACAGGTGACTAGGGGAGGTGATTAACACAGGTGATTAGGGAGGTGATTAACACAGGTGATTAGGGCAGGTGATTAACACAGGTGATTAGGGCAGGTGATTAACACAGGTGATTGAGGAGGTGATTAACACATGTGATTAGGGCAGGTGATTAACACAGGTGATTAGGGCAGGTGATTAACAAAGGTGATTAGAGAGGTGATTAACACAGGTGACTAGGGGAGGTGATTAACACAGGTGACTAGGGGAGGTGATTAACACAGGTGATTGAGGAGGTGATTAAACACAGGTGATTGGGGAGGTGATTAACAAAGGTGATTAGAGAGGTGATTAACACAGGTGATTGGGGAGGTGATTAACACAGGTGATTAGGGCAGGTGATTAACACAGGTGACTAGGGGAGGTGATTAACACAGGTGACTAGGGGAGGTGATTAACACAGGTGATTGGGGAGGTGATTAACACAGGTGATTAGGGAGGTGATTAACACAGGTGATTGAGGAGGTGATTAAACACAGGTGATTGGGGAGGTGATTAACAAAGGTAATTAGGAAAGTGATTATCAAAAGTGATTAGGGAGATGATTAACATAGATAATTAGGGAGGTGATTAACACATTAAAACTGTTGATTGGGGACAATGACAATATTGATGATTGTTTTTGTTGCGAACATTTATCTCTATGAAATGTTTTATGTTCATGATACAGAGTGACTACAATTGCAGTGTGAGTGGTCAGGTGTTCAGCGTTTTAGAAGTTAATGTAACAACAATTCTATGTGGTGTAAAGGTAAGCTCACACGTGTCATACATAAGCCTAGATATAGTAACTCACAGCTCTGGGAATCTGTTGTCCACATTGACACATGTGTCATACATAAGCCTAGATATAGCAACTCACAGCTCTGGGAATCTGTTATCCACATTGACACACATGTCATACATAAGCCTAAATATAGCAACTCACAGCTCTGGGAATCTGTTATCCACATTGACACACCTGTCATACATAAGCCTAGATATAGTAACTCACAGCTCTGGGAATCTGTTGTCCACATTGACACACTTGTCATACATAAGCCTAGATGTAGTAACACACAGCTCTGGGAATATATTTTCCACATAACATTGACACACCTGTCATACCTAAGCCTAGGTAGAGTAACTCACAGCTCTGGGAATCTGTTGTCCACATTGACACACCTGTCATACATAAGCCTAGATATAGTAACTCACAGCTCTGGGAATCTGTTATCCACATTGACACACCTGTCATACATAAACCTAGATATAGTAACTCACAGCTCTGGGAATCTGTTGTCCACATTACATTGACACACATGTCATACATAAGCCTAGATATAGTAACACACAGCTCTGGGAATCTGTTGTCCACATAACATTGACACACATGTCATACATAAACCTAGATATAGTAACTCACAGCTCTGGGAATCTGTTGTCCACATTGACACACATGTCATACATAAACCTAGATATAGTAACTCACAGCTCTGGGAATCTGTTGTCCACATTGACACACCTGTCATACATAAACCTAGATATAGTAACTCACAGCTCTGGGAATCTGTTGTCCACATAACATTGACACACATGTCATACATAAGCCTAGATATAGTAACACACAGCTACAGTTGTACATTGACACACACACATGTCATACATGCCTATGGGACAAAGCTTATACAGGTAAAGTCACCAGACATTGACATTCAATGATGGGACAAAGCTTATACAGGTAAAGTCACCAGACATTGACATTCAATGATGGGACAAAGCTTATACAGGTAAAGTCACCAGACATTGACATTCAATGATGGGACAAAGCTTATACAGATAGGACAAGTCATGAGAAATGGAAAACTTGTTACCTTTAAAGTTGATGATTCTATTATATTCCAGATAAAAACTGACTCTCCATTCTCTGTAACATACAAAGAGTCGAGAATTGACAATCCAGGGAAAGACATTGCAACAGGTAAAATTTGCAAAAGGTTAAAAACCTTTTATTTTTTCATTTTTATGCAGAAATTTTAACTGTCACCCTTTGACTATCATTGAACTTGATGGAGTATTGTGTCAAAAACCATTTGCTTATGTTTTTTTTACATTTGTTAATTCTGATAAGGATCAATGAAATGATAAAAGCTGGTAAACTGAGATTTAAAAAGTCCATTCAGTTAACCGTTAAACTGTTCCTATTATAGTTATCTGATTTCAGTTTTCCCCCTTGATTGTGGTAGATGTTCTGTTAACCTACAAATTTCACCATCATACATGTTTCAAATAATCATATATTTAATCATACTTTGTAACGCTTTCAACATGGGCACAAACATCAAGATATCCATGTAATCAACAGAGATCTAAAAATAACACAGACATTTACTCTTGTGTTATAAATACCTAATGATCAGTAATTATCACATTGTTTCTGTTATTAGTGTACAGGTGTGATCAGCTTACTCAGGGTTGTTTCTGTTATTAAGTGTGATCAGCTTACTCAGGGTTGTTTCTGTTATTAGTGTACAGGTGTGATAAGCTTACTCAGGGTTGTTTCTGTTATTAGTGTACAGGTGTGATCAGCTTACTCAGGGTTGTTTCTGTTATTAGTGTACAGGTGTGATCAGCTTACTCAGGGTTGTTCCTGTTATTAGTGTACCGGTGTGATCAGCTTACTCAGGGTTGTTCCTGTTATTAGTGTACAGGTGTGATCAGCTTACTCAGGGTTGTTCCTGTTATTAGGTGTGATCAGCTTACTCAGGGTTGTTTCTGTTATTAGTGTACAGGTGTGATCAGCTTACTCAGGGTTGTTCCTGTTATTAGTGTACAGGTGTGATCAGCTTACTCAGGGTTGTTCCTGTTATTAGTGTGATCAGCTTACTCAGGGTTGTTTCTGTTATTAGTGTACAGGTGTGATCAGCTTACTCAGGGTTGTTCCTGTTATTAGTGTACAGGTGTGATCAGCTTACTCAGGGTTGTTCCTGTTATTAGTGTACAGGTGTGATCAGCTTACTCAGGGTTGTTCCTGTTATTAGTGTACAGGTGTGATCAGCTTACTCAGGGTTGTTTCTGTTATTAGTGTACAGGTGTGATCAGCTTACTCAGGGTTGTTCCTGTTATTAGTGTACAGGTGTGATCAGCTTACTCAGGGTTGTTTCTGTTATTAGTGTACAGGTGTGATCAGCTTACTCAGGGTTGTTCCTGTTATTAGTGTACAGGTGTGATCAGCTTACTCAGGGTTGTTCCTGTTATTAGTGTACAGGTGTGATCAGCTCAGGGTTGTTCCTGTTATTAGTGTACAGGTGTGATCAGCTTACTCAGGGTTGTTTCTGTTATTAGTGTACAGGTGTGATCAGCTTACTCAGGGTTGTTCCTGTTATTAGTGTGTGATCAGCTTATTAGGTGTGATCAGGGTTGTTGTTCCTGTTATTAGTGTACAGGTGTGATCAGCTTACTCAGGGTTGTTCCTGTTATTAGTGTACAGGTGTGATCAGCTTACTCAGGGTTGTTCCTGTTATTAGTGTACAGGTGTGATCAGCTTACTCAGGGTTGTTTCTGTTATTAGTGTACAGGTGTGATCAGCTAACTCAGGGTTGTTCCTGTTATTAGGTGTGATCAGCTTACTCAGGGTTGTTCCTGTTATTAGTGTACAGGTGTGATCAGCTAACTCAGGGTTGTTCCTGTTATTAGGTGTGATCAGCTTACTCAGGGTTGTTTCTGTTATTAGTGTACAGGTGTGATCAGCTTACTCAGGGTTGTTCCTGTTATTAGGTGTGATCAGCTTACTCAGGGTTGTTCCTGTTATTAGTGTACAGGTGTGATCAGCTAACTCAGGGTTGTTCCTGTTATTAGGTGTGATCAGCTTACTCAGGGTTGTTCCTGTTATTAGGTGTATCAGTGTGATCAGCTTACTCAGGGTTGTTCCTGTTATTAGTGTGATCAGGTGTGAGGGTTGTTTCATTAGTGTACAGGTGTGATCTTACTCAGGTGTTGTTTCTGTTATTAGTGTACAGGTGTGATCAGCTTACTCAGGGTTGTTTCTGTTATTAGTGTACAGGTGTGATCAGCTTACTCAGGGTTGTTTCTGTTATTAAGTGTGATCAGCTTACTCAGGGTTGTTTCTGTTATTAGTGTGTGTTCCTGTTATCAGGTGTGAGCTTACTCAGGGTTGTTTCTGTTATTAGTGTACCGGTGTGATCAGCTTACTCAGGGTTGTTCCTGTTATTAGTGTACAGGTGTGATCAGCTTACTCAGGGTTGTTCCTGTTATTAGTGTACAGGTGTGATCAGCTTACTCAGGGTTGTTCCTGTTATTAGTGTGTGTGATCAGCTTACTCAGGGTTGTTCCTGTTATTAGTGTACAGGTGTGATCAGCTTACTCAGGGTTGTTCCTGTTATTAGTGTACAGGTGTGATCAGCTTACTCAGGGTTGTTCCTGTTATTAGTGTACAGGTGTGATCAGCTTACTCAGGGTTGTTCCTGTTATTAGTGTACAGGTGTGATCAGCTTACTCAGGGTTGTTCCTGTTATTAGTGTACAGGTGTGATCAGCTTACTCAGGGTTGTTTCTGTTATTAGTGTACAGGTGTGATCAGCTTACTCAGGGTTGTTTCTGTTATTAGTGTACAGGTGTGATCAGCTTACTCAGGGTTGTTCCTGTTATTAGTGTACAGGTGTGATCAGCTTACTCAGGGTTGTTTCTGTTATTAGTGTACAGGTGTGATCAGCTTACTCAGGGTTGTTTCTGTTATTAGTGTACAGGTGTGATCAGCTTACTCAGGGTTGTTTCTGTTATTAGTGTACAGGTGTGATCAGCTAACTCAGGGTTGTTTCTGTTATTAGTGTGATCAGCTTACTCAGGGTTGTTTCTGTTATTAGTGTACAGGTGTGATCAGCTTACTCAGGGTTGTTTCTGTTATTAGTGTACAGGTGTGATCAGCTTACTCAGGGTTGTTTCTGTTATTAGTGTACAGGTGTGATCAGCTTACTCAGGGTTGTTTCTGTTATTAGTGTACAGGTGTGATCAGCTTACTCAGGGTTGTTTCTGTTATTAGTGTACAGGTGTGATCAGCTTACTCAGGGTTGTTCCTGTTATTAGTGTACAGGTGTGATCAGCTTACTCAGGGTTGTTTCTGTTATTAGTGTACAGGTGTGATCAGCTTACTCAGGGTTGTTTCTGTTATTAGTGTACAGGTGTGATCAGCTTACTCAGGGTTGTTTCTGTTATTAGTGTACAGGTGTGATCAGCTTACTCAGGGTTGTTTCTGTTATTAGTGTACAGGTGTGATCAGCTTACTCAGGGTTGTTACTGTTATTAGTGTACAGGTGTGATCAGCTTACTCAGGGTTGTAGCCAATGTATCTACCTAAAGTCACAAGGATATTTGTGTGGCTGGGACACCTTTAGAAGACAATGTTCCTACAACACAGCAAAAGAGGTTGATTCCACAAGTTGTCCCTCTCCACACATCACAGTGAGTATACAGGTGTAAGATATACAGGTGTGAGGTGTACAGGTGGGACATGTACAGGGGTGACATATACAATTGTGAGATATATTGTTGTGATGTTTAAATGTGTGAGGTGTACAGGTTTGTGGTGCATGTATACAGGTGTGAGGTGTACAGGTGGGACATGTACAGGGGTGACATATACAAGTGTGAGATATATTGTTGTGATGTTTAAATGTGTGAGGTGTACAGGTTTGTGGTGCATGTATACAGGTGTGAGGTGTACAGATATGTGGTACATGTATACAGGTGTGAGATATACTGGTGTATGATGTACGATTGTGAGGTGTATAGGTGTGTGGTACATGTATGCAGGTGTGAAGTATACAGGTTTTTGGTACATGTATACAGGTGTGAGGTGTACAGGTGTGTAGTACATGTATACAGGTGTGAGGTGTACAGGTTTGTGGTACATGTATACGGGTGTGAGGTGTACAGGTTTGTGGTACATGTATACAGGTGTGAGGTGTACAGGAGTGACATACACAAGTGTGAGATATATTGTTGTGATGTGTAAATGTGTGAGGTGTACAGGTTTGTGGTACATGTATACAGGTGTGAGGTGTACAGGAGTGACATACACAAGTGTGAGATATATTGTTGTGATGTGTAAATGTGTGAGGTGTACAGGTTTGTGGTACATGTATACAGGTGTGAGGTGTACAGGTTTGTGGTGCCTGTATACAGGTGTGAGGTGTACAGATATGTGGTACATGTATACAGGTGTGAGATATACTGGTGTATAATGTGTGATTGTGAGGTGTACAGATATGTGGTACATGTATACAGGTGTGAGGTGTACAGGTTTGTGGTGCCTGTATACAGGTGTGAGGTGTACAGATATGTGGTACATGTATACAGTTGTGAGATATACTGGTGTATGATGTATGATTGTGAGGTGTACAGATATGTGGTACATGTATACAGGTGTTAAGTGTACAGATATGTGGTACATGTATACAGGTGTGAGGTGTACAGATATGTGGTACATGTATACAGGTGTAAGATATACAGGTATGAGGTATGCAGGTGTGACATGTACAGGTGTGACATACACAAGTGTGAGATATATTATTGTGATGTGTAAATGTGTTAGGTGTACAGTTTTGTGGTACATGTATACAGGTGTGAGGTGTACAGGTTTGTGGTACATGTATACAGGTGTGAGATGTACAGGTTTGTGGTACACGTATACAGCTGTGAGATATACAGCTGTGATGTTTAAAAGTGTGTATAATGTGTGATTGTGAGGTGTACAGATATGTGGTACATGTATACAGGTGTGAGGTGTACAGGTTTGTGGTACATGTATACAGGTGTGAGATATACTGGTGTATGATGTATGATTGTGAGGTGTACAGATATGTGGTACATGTATACAGGTGTTAAGTGTACAGATATGTGGTACATGTATACAGGTGTGAGGTGTACAGATATGTGGTACATGTATACAGGTGTGAGATATACA